GCCTCTGAAGCTCAGTGGTCTGCTCCTTCCCTTACACCCAGTGCACATGCCAGCCCCGTGCCGGTCACTGCAGTGGGGCTTCCTCACCTGGCTGAGGCGCTGCGCGTCAGGTACCCCACGCCCTGTCCACAGGGCACTTTTGGGAAGCAAGTCATTGGGTGCGGCCCACGGAAGGGGTGGGGAGCTCTGCGCCACCCTGAGAGGGGGGCATCTCAGAGGGTTCTCTTTTAAAACCTGAATCAGATCCTGTCGTCCACCACTGCTATTAAATAAAATAAACGACGCTAAGAACCCACCACCTGGCCCTGGTTTACCCTGACTCAGAATGGCCCCTGGGACCCCCGCCCTCACCGCTGCTCCATGGCGCCCCCTTGCCGGGCCTCAAACACGCCCATCTCATGCCCACTTTGGCCTTTGTCTTCCTACTGCCTGGCATAAAAGAGGCTCTCCCCAATTTCACCTGTGGAATGAACAAGGGCATGAATCCCCATCCTACAGAAGAGAAGACAGGGTCTGGAAAGGTAAGTCCCAGCCAAGGTCACTGAGGCAGGGAACTGCCGAGCTGGGCTTCAAACCCAGCCTCCTGGCCTCAGTGTCTGAGGGTACAGCCACTTCCCCTCCTTCCCTTCCCAGGACAGAAACTCCCAGGGTGGAGGCTGCTCCGTGGGAGGAACCGCCTGCCTCCTGGGAAGCAGAGGGAGAGGAGGGAGCGCCTCCACTGGGCCAGACCTTGTGCCTTGGACCTCAGTGACCCTCGCAGCGGGCACAGCTGGTGAGGCCAGGAGCCCAGGGCCACAGGAAGCTGCTGCCTGTGCGGGCACAGAGAAGCCCCAGGGGCTGCTCCCACAGAGCCCCCAGCCTCACCGTCCTCAGTCTCCACATAGAGGCGGAGTCCCAGGTCCTTGTGACGCTTCAGCAACCAGCGGTCACTGGCTGCTGTGACGTCCAGCACCAGCCAGCCCTCGTCCCCAGCTCGGAGCGTCTGAAGATCCAAAAAGAACAAGTCAGACTCCCTGTGGACACGAAAGAACAATTAACCGGCGGCCGGCACAGCTGCCTCTGTGTCTCCAGGACCCGCTGGGGGCCGTCACCGGGGCATCTCCTACCTGACTCTGCCTGTGCTCCTTCTGAGCCTCATCTCACCGCCTCAGGCCACAGAGGTATACACATGAGGAAACTGAGGCTCAGTGGTTCAATGAGCTGTTCAAGTCCCCATAGCCAGGATGGCAGGGCAGGGACTTGAAGGCAGGACTGTCACTGGGGCTCTTCCCGCAGTGCAGGGGGCTCGGGCCAAGCATCTTTCCCGTCTTTGAGGGTCTCTTTCGGGTCCTCTGGGAAGTGTTCCACCAACCCCCACTCCCTGCTGGGTTGCCTTGACCATGAGACTGTGAGGCGGGCAGGGGCTTGGGGCACCTGGCCCAAGGGGAAGGCACCTGTTGGACTGCTCCTGGACCACCTGGAACATGCTGACGTGGAGGGTCCTGTTGAGCAGGTGGATGCTGGGCACCTTGTAAATCCGGAACTCCGCAGCTGTGACCGCCTCCCCATCCGGGATCTGGGTCAGGTCAAAGCGGAACTCCTTCCAGTGGGGCTCCTGGTGGCCCAGGGCATGATCTCGCTCCACTAGAAGACAAAGCAGAGCTGGGCTGGCACTCGGAATGGCTCGGACTTTGGAGTGGGCAGAGCTGGTGTGAGCCACCGCCCCCAGCCACCCACCACTCAAGGTGGAGGGGACCCAGGGAGGCCTGGCGGGGCCGGTTTCCTTTTGTGCAAACGTTTGTTCCAGGCTTGGTCCCAGGGAGCAGACAGGGCTGAGAGGCCCTGCAGCCAGGCTCAGCCTGAGCCCTGCACCTGGCTGGTGCTCAACAGACCCCAGGCTCCAAACCCCAAACTCCCATTGCGCCCCTTCTCGGTCTGGCTGGTCCTGGGACCCGGAGATGAGACAGAGGAGGGAGCCTCCTCTGGGAGCTTCCAGGCTAAAGGGAAGATGAACATTGGACCCAAGGCAGAAAAGGGCCCCGGCCCTGCAGGGAAACCTGGTAGACAGGGACAAAACTGACATCACCGACGGCATCTCGGGGGACACGAGCCATCCAGAGCCTGCCCACTGCCTGGATGGGAGGTGTGGCAGGGGAGGGCTCAGGGCTGACAGCTGAGCTGGGCTGAGGCATGAGTGCAAATCTGCCATGGGTCAGGGAGACGGGCCCTGCAGGGGCCGGCCAGCCAGGGCAGAGGGCCAGAGCAGAGGGGCCTGAGGGCAAGGCAGGGAAAGCAAGCACCAGGAAACAGCAGAGAGCAGGAGACCGACGTTTCCTTTCTGGAACAAGGTGGAGGAGGAAGGAGGGAAACGTGGAAAGGAACAAGAAAAACCAGGGCAGGAGTGACAACTCCCGGAGAGGCCAGTCAGGTGCTGGGGAAGTCGGAGGGTCTCACTGGGCGGTGGGATCTGAGCAGGTGGCATCTGAACTGGCTTTGAAGGGTAGGATGGGGTCTTGGTAGGTGGAGAAGGTGGCAGGGAGGGTGCTCTAGGGAGAGGGGACCTCACATGCGCAGGGGTGGAGGCACCCACAGGTCGACAATGCTGGGGACAGCACATGAGCTCTGCTGCAGCCTGCCTGCTGAGGGTGCCAATCCCGGGCCAGGAGCCTGGGCTGCGCTTCTGGCCAGTGGGGAGCACAGGGGACGGGGGCAGCAGGGGGGCGGCGTTGGGGGAGAGGAATTAGAAGACACGGTGGAGGCGAGGGTAGAGGCCAGGCTGGAGGTGAGATGGGCAGCAGGGCCCCGTGGTGGGGGCTGGCCTGCCAATCAAACAAAGGCTGCAGTTGTGGAATAAAGCCCACGTTTCCCCAAGTGTCTGGAAATACCCGGGACGCTATATTTAGGGAAGTCTCACTTTAGCATCCTGTCCCTCTCAAACTCTAGAAATCTGTGTTTCCGGAAAGCAGGGGTGGGAGCCGCCCAGTGCCTTCCCCAAAACCCAACACTGAGATTTCAATGATATGTTTGTGAGTCTT